AAAAGAGAAGAGAGAGAACAGAAAATGTTAAAATAATTTTTATATAGTAGAAGCTCCTAATTCAATCAAACATAATTTTTATCAAGTGATTTTATAACACTGAGCTGTAAACATATTTTATGATTTATTTTTTCATGTTTTCTCTTTTAAGAGAAACTTCTCATAGTTCTGAGAGTAAGTTAATAGATGATGACAGTTGAATATTGAACCAATGTAGTCAGAACTAAAGCACATACACCACTATAATCAAAAAAAGTATAAGAGCTGGCCAAATCGCTCAGCAGATTAAAATGCCTGCTTAGGCAGATGCAGGGGCCGGGAGTTTGATCCCTGGTGCCTGCCATGCAGGCCCTGCTCCCTGGGCGTGCAGAGAAGGCAACTGAGACAGGGCATAGTGGTGCATGCTTGTAATCTCAGCACTTGGGAGGCTGTAAACAGGAAGATCACTAAGAGTCCGATCTATGCAGTGAGACCCTGTACACCCTGTGTACCCTGTCCTAAAATACAAAGAAAAAAAGTATGATAGAGACAGAAGCTTTAAGATGAAAATTTGGTCATAGCTACTGTGATTATAGTAACAAAGGTAGAGAAATAAATTTGGGTATGTAACTATAATATTTTGTGCCAGTGGAGTATTATAAAATATATTTCTATTTTCCCTTGATAAATGCTGGTGGGTAAAAAAGAAGGGTTAAAACCCAAAAAGATTTTGAACTGTACTTGAGGTTTGGCTGAATGCATTGTGGCAAGAACTGAGATGTTTCATTTTTATTTTTAATTTGATTGGGTAACATGACCCATTCACTTCTGTAATCAATGTCTGCCCTGGTACCTGGCAACACAAAGACTATGAGCTGTGTTGACTTTAAAAAACAGAAGCCCTGTGGACATTCCATACTTTACATTTATTTGAAGTTTGCAATCAGTATGTTTCCATATGTTTATGATTATGAAAATAACATACTTTAAAAATATTTTGTACCAATTAAAACTAAACATACTTGCTAGTTCCTTCTTAAAAGTACAAGGCAATTGTTAATCTAATGTCTATAGAGATAAACTCCTGTTGCTGTTTCATAGAAATGGAATTATATATTGAGCATATTTATATATTATTCATAATATATTTAGTCTTTTGTCAATGACTTTTGTGACACTACCTAACATCCCTGAGCTTTAACTAAATTGTAACAAAGGTCACTTCTTCACTCCTTAATACTACTGAATAATATTCTCTGGCATCAATATACCATATTTTATTTTTATCTTTACCAAAAGATGGAGATTTGGGTTATTCTGTCCTTTTGATTACTGCAAATGAAGAGTTTTGGGGTTGTAAGTATTGGCTCTGCTTCTATATCTATATATTATTTATCCCTCCATATTTTGAAAGGCACTGCATTGAATCCATGCCTTAACTATTGTAAGTAGCGCCTCACAAACTTGAGCTTCTGGGGGGCTTTTCAGGGGGCTGATTTCATCTCCACTGGGTATACATCCAGAACAGGAACTGTATGCTTACATGGTAATTCTCTTTTTAGTTTTTTAAATAATCTCCATACTGATCTCCATGGTGGTGTCACTAATTTCTATTCTCTAAAACAATGCAGCAGAATTCCTGTTTTCTCCACATCCTGGCAACTATTTGTTATGATTTTGGTGATAAAAGGGATTATAATTGGGATGAGATGGCATCCAATCATGACCTTGATTTGTATTTTATTCTTAATCTAGGATATTATTCTGAAAAATATTTGTTTTATTTTTAAACACTCCAGTACTTACAGAACTGTTATGACCTATCCAATTACATTTTGTGGACAGATTAATATTTCAGTTATTTATTCAAATTACTTTATCTTGAACGATCTATGTTAGACAAGTTTGAAAGGCCCATGAAGTTTCTTGTATCATATCTGTTTCAGAAGAGAAATCAGAAATCAAAACTTGTTTTATTGTAAAAAAAGGAATTTCCAGAACATGTTTAACACATAAAAAAGAGCTCAATGAGAAAATTTGGGGCAAAATTGTATATAATGAATTAAATAAAAGAATGGCAGTTATGGTCAGGGGAATAAACATAAATGTAAGGATAAGTATCTATCCTACCTACCCAGGTGCAAGATATCGATCATAAGGAAAAAAATCACTTCTGTGTATGTGATTTTAACCATCTGTATTTTGTAGTAGAACTCTTATTGTTGGCAGCTTTCAAGCTACACAACATCACACACTGTAAATACAGATGCTAAAGTTTTATTCATGAAATCGTAAGAACAACAAACCAGATTTCTCTTGGCTGAAGTCCAGGGATTACAGTCAATCTGCTGCTTAATGATGAATGACGCCTGGCATAATTCCATCACCCCCCCTCTATTATTATCCTCATTTATTTTCCGTATCCCTAAATTTACATTTCCCTGTTCTATTCAGCCTATTTCTAGCTTTCTCTCAAGCATACAATAAACATATCTCTAGTAAGATTTCAGCTGGCACCTTTGACTTTACACAGTCAAGTTCTTTCATGGTCATTATGATCTGTGTGTACTGTTTGAATTCCTCCTCTGCCAGAACGCTTGCTTCCCGCCCTCCTCAGGCAACGGAACTAAAGACCTTGTGCTTGCCAGGCAGACACTGACTCCACTACGCTGTCTCCCCAACTCAGAACACTTGCTTTTAATCCAGAGTCTCTGTTTACTAACAAACCAGAGAAAATAGTAAAGGTCAAGTTCAATTCAGATGTTTATGGTGGAATTAGTCAGGAAAGGTGAAAGCAGAAAACAACTGCTATGTAGAGAGAAAGAAGCTATGTTAGTAAAAAAATATTCAATTTAAGAGGTGAGGTCCCACCTTACTGAAAGAATAAAAGTAAAGACACAGAACACAGATGCTAAGTCAGAACCACAGACGTGGAATACACAATTTGTGCAATTTTAGTTTTTCTTTTAGTTACACCTTCAGCCCTAAAATCTTCATACAAAGTTAGGCACTGAACTTGAAACGGAGCAAAATTCCTATTCGGTATTCATGTTTCATCCTTGTGGACTGCAGAAAAGAAAAATTTCTAAGAATGGCATCTAGTAATAAAATAGGTACTAACTTCTGTATTGAGAATGGAAGGAAACTTTAGCCACATCAGCTGTAGCACATGCAAACTCATTTCTGGGCTTCAGAAAATTTGTCTACCCGAAGACCACTTTTTCAAAAACATAATGCAAAATGTCCTACATTAAAGCACTCTTATATCAAATGATATACATGAGATGTGAATGAAAATATGATGAATGTTTAAATTAAATAATTAGTTTCAGTAAAAAGAAAAAAAAAAAAAGGATTGGTAGAGGAGATAGCTCAGTGGCATAAGCACCTGCCTGGCAAGTGCAAGATACTGAGTTCAGTCTCCAGTACAAAAAAATAAGAAAAAAGAAAAAAAAAAAAACAGTTGACACCAATTCCCTCAAAATAAAGTCCCTCTCTTCAAACATGCTTGTCCCAGTGTTCTTGTCTCTTTTGGAAGCAGTATCAGAAGGCCCTTCATGAGCTTCCTTAGTTGCATGGTCATGTGAGAATCAATTTCTTATCTCTGTGTGTGTGTGTGTGTGTGTGTGTGTGTGTGTGTAACCGGGGATTGAACTCAGACCCTTGTGCTTGCCAGGGAAGTGCTTATTCTACTGAGCCATCTCTCCAGCCCCAAGAATCAATTTCTATTCAATTCAAAGTGATTAATTTTTGAGGTCAGCCAAATAGTTCAGTGCATTAAAGTGCCGGCAAGCAAGCCCAGGGACCAGAGTTTGATCCCCAGGCCTACCATGCAAACCCCACCCCCAGGGTGTGCTGAGAGGGCAACTGAGACTGGGCATGGTGGTGCGTGCCTGTAATCCTAGCTCTTAGGAGGAGGTAAACAGGTGGATCACTACGAGTTGGATCTAGTAGTGAGACCTTGAACACCCTATAGACCCTTCCCTAAAATACAGAAAAAGAAAAATAAGAGAGAGAGATTAATTTTCAAAGTCATTTTTATTTGGGGCACAAGCCAAAGTTTCGTAGTGGCAGGCCTAGTGAATAAGATGAACGACAAACACTTACAATATTCTTATAAAACACTCATGATATTCTATATAACATTATATAATACTAATAGTATAATTATACAATATTCTTATCATATTCTTATAAGAACACTTATAATATTCTATAAGTCTAATTTTCTGCCAAATGTCGCTGGTCCACAGCATCAACTGTGCTGTGTTCACATTTTATGAAGACCCTTATAAAAGAGGACTTCCAGACCTGCCTCAGAAAGTGGCAAGAAGGGGCTGGGGAGATGGCTCAGTGGAATAAGCCCTTCCCTGGCAAGTGCAAGGGCTTGAGTTCAATCCCTGGGTCTGCCAAAAAAAAGAAAAAGAAAAAAAGAAAATGGCAAGAAAAATGGGGTGAGTTTGAAATGAGCGACAGGATATTGAGGCAGATTAGGATGGTTTCTTTTACTGTAATATTTTTGAACATTTACTATATATTTTCATCAAACATAGTATATAATGGTGCATGAAATAATAACAAACAAGTATTTTTGGCCACTTTCAGAAAAAATGTGTTTTAGATGTCTGAGAAAAACAATAGAGAATGTACTAGTATTGATTCAAAGTTTCAAAAGATGAACATATTACTGGCACTATGGTGTACTACACATTGATCTCTAACCAGTTAGAACTGACTATAAGATAAAGACATTCTATCAGATGATCTTTAAAATTACATTTAGAAAATACATTATTGTATTTTAGCTTACAGTATGGCCACCAAATCTCTCACATGAAAGTAATACTTTGTATTGGAAAAGAAATGTAAAAAAATTCTAATTAGAATACAACATTGGGTAGAAGATATAGATAG